CAAGGGAAACAAAATATTTTGCTGAAATAAGATGTATGCCAGAGGGCGTTTTGGACCCAGTGAGTCTATCTAAACTCAAAATGATTTCTGGAAAGAGAAATGTGTGTTTGGCTCCCATTACCACTAAATGTAATTTCCAAAGGAAATGGAGGTTTAATAAACTCTAGTCTTTTATCTCTGTCTTTTATGTTACTCTGGCAAATAGGTGCATTGTGTTTTAAAAAGCTGTTGATGCACGTAGAGTTCCTGATTGCCTTTGATTCCCTGGTAGATGCTTCACAACTGATCTAATTCACAGGAAGAAAATGTCTCTTAGCAGGTAGAGAAACATACAGGAATGCATATGCACTCTTACACTTTCATCCTTCTTATGAGAACGATTAATCTTCCTGAGTACATCATGGGTTTGGGCAGTGAGATACAGCATCCTCTTTAGCCGCCTGATAACTGGCTGATGATACAGACATTAGCAGTTCACTGTGGTTTCAGGGTCATACGCTGTCCAGAATGCTAGCTGGCCAGGTCCTTCTTACTCCAGTACATGTCCAGGTGGTTTAGGACAGTCTCAGTCTAAGAAATAAGACTGTACTTCCTACCCCAGGGCGGAAAGGCAAGAAGCTCTCACTTAATCCATGGGAAGCAAGTTTAAGTATTTTACCTCCCAAGGACTATTGAGAGGAACCAGGATCCACCCCCTGTGCCAGGCAGGTGCTAGAAGGTGGGTCCAGTAGAATACAAAGATGGAAGTACAGTCCAGCAGGGAGTCTACCACCACCCAAGGATGCAGCACAACAAAAAAGTTTAAATATATACAAATATAAAAGCTTTTATGTGAAGGGGATAACTTTACTACTTTAGTTTTTGCAGGGAGCATAGAGCAACTAGTACATCTTTTTCCTTCGTTCCCCACTTCTCCTCCTTTTCCCCCTGAGCCAGTTTTCCCTATAGCTGCTTGCATTAGGGACACCCAGCCCGACCCCCACCCAAACACACAGGCATACACGGTATCCTCTGTGTTAGCAACCCCGTGTGATTCTTTTTATTCCTTTTCACATTCTATCTTGTCTTCAATCAGACCTTTCTGAATGTGTTAAAAGGGACAGTCTATTTGCAATTCTGGTCAACAACTAAAGGAAAGATCAAGGAAAGTAATTTATAGCCTCCTGTTCTATCAGCCTCAAATCAAGGTGAGCTTCAGCTAACATTATGAGGCATGGGATTTGACTGCTGAATCCTGAAATGCTCTATTCTAAATGGTGCATCCAGGTATTCAGTTTTTCTAGCCAGGCTGGGAATATTTCGGAACTAGGGGCTTGAGAGATACCTGTGCTTCCCTGCTGGCAGCCTGAGGCCCTTTACCTCCTGTAGGACCCCTCTCCATACTGTGCAGGTGCCCTGTGAAGGGGACACTATTGGCTGTCATCCAGGACACCCCGCCTTTATGTAGAAGGAAAGGATTTTCTTCAACCAGCCTCTTGTCCACCCTGTGCTCACCCCTCCAGAGGCAGCTGCACCATCACCAAGGTGGCCATCAGTCTCTTAGGCCCAGTGCCCAAGAGGTGGACCAGCTTATGGAATCCACAGCCCATCAGAGCAACAGCACTGAAATGGATTCACAAAGTGACGCAAATTGTTGTAACTCTAGGCTCCTTTTGTATCTTGAATCTATTTCTATTTTGCATTTAGCATCCAGAATTATACTTATTAAAACTGTCTGCCTTAGAAGGCTGGGACTGTGGCTTAAAAACTTTTGAATGTCCTTTTGTCTGCATAGTGCTGGAAATATGTCCAATAAAGGCCGACTGGATCAATACACTCAAACGTAGGAAAGTGTTGGATCACTGGCATTTTGGGGGGCCCTTAAACATCAGAAGAAGTTGAAGGAGGTGGATAAGTACATGTCTTGGTTACTTTTCTGTAGTTGTTGAGACAAAATACCTGATGCCCAACCTGAAGGAAGGAAAGGTTTATTTAGCTACAGTTTTTGGAGGTTTCAGTTCATACTCAGCTGGCTCCAAGGCAGGGTGGTGTGGCTTAGGGGCAGCCATTCATGGCACAAGCAATAAGAGCAAAAGGGCAAAAGAGGAAAACATGCCTCCTTCCCTCACTTATGCTGTATGCCAGGTACCCACCCCGGGCAAGTGCAGCACTCACACTGCCAATCCTAGTGCTAGACAACAAACCAATCACAAAGGCTGAATTCGGCCACCTCCATGACTGCATGAGAGGGACATCCAGATACAGACAACAGTGCAATACAGATTCAAGATGGACAGAAGATGGTCCCCGAATAGCTGACCATGGCATTGTCTAGTGGACTGTCGCAATTGGGTCAGAAAAGGACAGAATAAAGGATTTTTTTCTTTTTAAGCACTAAAAATTGATTTATCCTCTGTATTTGGCACTAGAGACCTTCATATTTGTAAGGCATTATTGTGAAGAATGGCAGGAGAAATAAATGAGATACATGGATGGTAGGTTAGAGGTCGGAGAGGGAGACTACCTGGATCCCCCCTCTCCGAACTCCCAGTGGTATCTACAGCTCCAGAAAAGAGACTTATACCCTTACCCACAATGTGCCAGCTCCTCAGCCTCTTCCCATGTCTCCATCCTCATCTCCTGCCCACTGTCTCTTACTCCACACCTGCTCGTGGTGTTATTTTTGTCCTTAAGTACTTACAGCAAGTCCTTTCTAACTTCAGGGGCCTTGCCCTGAGCTCAAAGGCAGCCTCTTTCTTGATCACTCAGCCCTCAGCTAACTGTTCTCTCTTCTAGCCAAGATCATCATGAAGCCCTCTCCATGCCATCACCAGGGTGTAGTTTTTCCATGAAATATTTCACTGTGAATTTGCCTTGTTTACTTCCTGTGTAATCATTGTCTGTTCTCCCTCGCCTTTCCCTCTGCCCCCTGCAGAGCATGGGCAAACAGGGCTTCCTGTAAGCAGAAAGGTTGGTCTCACTTAGTGCCCACTGGTCCTGATGACCAGGATATGGCCTGGAGGCTGTTACCTATTGGACACTCATCAAGTATGAAATTGCTCTGGGGAAAACAAGAAAGAATCACCTCAATCAGGGAAGACACCAGGACTCTGGGCTGGTGGAACAGACTGCAAAAGGAGGCTTGGAAGTGGTGCTGGAGGAGCAGAATGACGCATTTTGCCACGAATAGGAGTCAAGAGCTAGAAACCAGAGCTCGAATGCCAGTGCCATTCCTTACCATGTGTGCAAACCAGGCAGTGACCTCACCTTTCTGTGCCTCCATTTCCTCATTTGCAAAAAGAGCCAAAATGCTCTTCTTAGACTGGTGTGAAAACTGAGTTGTTACGTGGCAAATCCCAGCAGCACCTAGCACATAGCTAAGCATTTTTGCTATGCATAACAGGGGAATCACTGAAGGTCTGAGGAACATGGTATGGACTTGGGCCTGTGTTTTTGGAAGCTCCCCAGGCTGGCAGGAAAGAGAATTAGTTAGAGGGGGCTGAGAATGCAGTGGAGGAAAGAAGTGTCTAGGGAAGATGGGCCAAGACAATGAGGGGCCATGAGGATGAGCCGAGAGTTACTAAAGCACCACTCCCTCACTGCTTTGGGGAAGGAGGTCAGGGAATGGCAGCCTTGGCCTTTACAGGAGTGAAGGAAGGGGCCCAGGTTTTGGAAGAAAAGTGCACTGTCTGCTTTTTATTTAAGAGTTTATGCCCAGTCCATTGGCCCACTTGGAAGGACTCTCCAAAAGAACATGACAGAAACTGATACATAGTAGTTTTTTGCTGTTGCTGCTGGTTTCTCATAGGGTCTCAACTATGTAGTTCAGGCTGGCCTGGAACTTACAGCGATCCTCCTGCCACAAGCTCCTGAGTGCTGGGATTATAGGCATGTGCCACACATAGTGTTGAACCCAGTTACCACATGTGTGGAAGAATCCTAAGGATCTTGCCTGTTCTTTACTTGTTTCATGTCTATTTGCATATGCACCATCCACAGACCGTGTATAAAGCTATTTAGTCAGCAATTTGATAGAGGGTCGAACCAAATTATGTAGCTACAAGTTTCTCTAGAAACAGGTAGAAGCCCACCTAAACTTTCTAAAATCACCTAGGTTGCAGGTATATGACAAGTCTTTTATATATATATATATATATATAGCAAGTCTTTGAGCGCCCAAATTTGTAGATCCGGGCCATAATGCTCCCAGTATTGGTACCCAGCTAGTATTTATATTTGTCAGAACTCTGAACTCTAGGGGAAAACCAGTCTTGGTCAAACAAGTTAGGGAAACTTTGTGCTGTTTATTTTCTTCCTCTTTAACATTCACAATAAAAATCAACTAACTTAGCACTTCCCAAACTTATCTGTCGATGTGTAATGGCTGTTAACACCCCACAGTGAAAAAGAGTCCAGTCTCTTCACCAATGGCCAGAAAACTCAGCCACTCATCAGAGATAACCCAACCAGCATTGACAGAACCAGACTGGCGGCTCAAAGGGTTAATAGCCTCCCTAAGTATCGCTGCATCTCTGTGTTGGCAGCAGTGGCTGCAAATGGATTTTCAAAGTCATTTTTCCCTTGGAATTTATTTAAAGAATTGCTTCTGAAGTATCTAGGATCCTAGTTTAATTTAGAGAGATTTATTCCTCAGCAGATGGAAAATGTGCCAATTGGCCCATTCAATTCAGCAGTATTCTTTATTCATAAACATCAGAAATGGAACCTAAATAGTATGCGTGATACAGATCAACGCGGCCTGGAGATTCGCGCAGTGAGGCGTGGGGAAGGGTGGGCATCCGTAAGCAATTAAACAAGCAGACATGTAATTAAGAGTTATGATACATGTGCGATGAAAAAAATGATCAGCATACCGTCAGGCTGGGCTCAAATTTGTAATCATTTTTTAATTGACCCAGATTCAGCTGGAATCAACAGCGGTTGATTTTTACGGTTATGGCGCTCAGCTCTTAACTAGTGTTTGAATCTCGTAATAGCCTCTCCCCTTCTTGTTTTTCCAGGCCAGCGCAGCAAAATGAGAGCGCAGTAAGCCGGCCCCGCCTCATTCCCGGCCTTCTCCCACGCCCACCATGAACCACTCGGAGGGCTCCGCGGAGGTGGAGGTGCCCGACGAGGCGGCCGGCGGGGAGGTGAACGAGTCGGTGGAGGCCGACCTGGAGCACCCCGAGGTGGAGGAGGAGCAGCAGGCCCCGCGGCCGCAGCGCTACCCCGGCCGGCAGCCGTGCGGGCGCGCCGTCGAGGACCTGCAGGGCGCGCAGGTCGGGCCGCAGGAGGACGAGGAGCGCGGCGAGAGCCTGGCGCGCTCGGCCAGCACGGAGAGCGGCTTCCACAACCACAGCGACACCGCCGAGGGCGACGTGATCGCCGCGGCCCGCGACGGCTACGATGCGGAGCGTGCGCAGGACGCGGAGGACGAGAGCGCGTACGCGGTGCAGTACCGGCCGGAAGCCGAGGAGTACACGGAGCAGGCCGAGGCCGAGCACGCCGAGGCCTCGCACCGCCGCGCGCTGCCCAACCACCTGCACTTCCACTCGCTGGAGCACGAGGAGGCCATGAACGCGGCCTACTCAGGCTACGTCTACACGCACCGGCTCTTCCACCGCGGCGAGGACGAGCCCTACGCCGAGCCCTACGCCGACTACGGCGGGCTGCAGGAGCACGTGTACGAGGAGATCGGGGACGCGCCCGAGCTGGACGCGCGCGACGGCCTGAGGCTCTACGAGCAGGAGTGCGACGAGGCTGCCGCCTACCGCCAGGAGGCCCTAGGCGCGCGGCTGCACCACTACGACGAGCGCTCGGACGGCGAGTCCGACAGCCCCGAGAAGGAGGCCGAGTTCGCGCCCTACCCGCGCATGGACAGCTATGAGCAGGAGGAGGACATCGATCAGATCGTGGCCGAGGTCAAGCAGAGCATGAGCTCGCAGAGCCTGGACAAGGCGGCAGAGGACATGCCCGAGGCCGAGCAGGACCTGGAGCGTGCCCCCACCCCAGGCGGGGGTCGCCCCGAGAGTCCGGGGCTGCAGGCACCGGTGGGGCAGCCACGAGCAGCCGGCCCCACGGGCGGTGAAGGAGGACAGCGGTACAGTAAGGAGAAGAGGGATGCCATCTCGCTGGCCATCAAGGACATCAAGGAGGCCATCGAAGAGGTGAAAACCAGGACCATCCGTTCGCCTTATACCCCTGACGAGCCCAAAGAACCCATCTGGGTCATGCGCCAAGACATTAGCCCCACCAGGGACTGTGACGACCAGAGGCCAGTGGATGGAGATGTAAGTGTGCGCGCGCTCAGACTTGGTGCAGCTCCACGCGTGGCATCGCGGGGCTGGGGTGGGATGGGACGGGAGTTCAGTGGCCCGTGCACCATTGGCAAGGGATTTTATGGGATAAAGGACTATGGGGGCGCTAAGAACCTCTGTACCCTAAGCCTCAGAAACTGTGCACAAGCTCTGGTCAGTGACTCACCAACTGGAGAGGGTCGAATTGCATGTGTTCGACCCATAGAGGGATCGCTGTGAATCAGTGATTCCCAAACTGTATCTGGAGAGCTTGCTGATAATCAGTTTTCAAGGCACAAGGCCTCCCACCAACTAGTTGCTAATTCCGGAGATCTGGAGTAGGGTCCAAGCATTTGCACTTTTTAAAATTTTTATTACTGCATGTTTGCAGTACATAATTATTACATCCACTGTCGTGGGAGAGTTGGTATATGTACATAGCACATCTTAAGTTTTTCTTTACTTATAATGGCGAAAATGAAGTCAGGACTAAGGAGAGGTTTTATAGGAAACCATTATTGCACTGGGGAGAAAGGTACTGACCCTCTAGCAGTAAGATCTGAATGGCTTTCTGTGGGAAGGAAAGGTGTTCCTTCTTGGGGATGAGTAACTGAGATTATAGAGAGTGAGATGTGAGAAGTGGGCTGGAAGAGTGGCTTAATATGATGTAGATCAGAAGATAAAAGTCCGGAAACCAGCCTGGCCTAAAGGAGGGCTGGATCAGTGGTGGTGATGTGTTGTCTTTAAAATAAAAGATGTCAATGTCTGAGTTACTTTTTCTAAACTACACCTGGGATATATGCTGACCAAAGGTTGGACATCTTGGGGAAAGGGAGACGCTGAATGAAGTTAGGTTAACAAGGATTTTGTTAGGGCTATCAGCGGGTCTGCTAATCATTTATGAGGCAGAGCATGGGAATTTGAAAGGTCTGTGTCTGATCCTGTGAGTACACAGGGGCATCTGAGAGGCCTAGGACAGTATGTTAGGGAAGAAGGTCTCTTTGCAGTCAGCCCCTTCCCAGGAAGCATAAGGGTGGGCAGTTTCTAACTGTAGCTATTTCTAGAATGGCAGGGCCCAGATAGAGGTCACTGTTGCCACTAACAAGTCCCAGGTGATAATGCTGGGCCCAGGACCACAGTTGGAGAACCGCTGCTTTAAAGCTGTCCCTTAGTGGATTTGGGACAGCTGCAGTTCCTTTGGAGGAATTATTGGAAACCCTCCGAGTCCTGACCTCTCAGAGCTTCTGTCATTTTTTTTCAGCCCCTTATTGCTCATTATAGATTTCATTAAGTTCTTAGTTTTCAATTATTTTGGTACCAGGGCAACCTTCCCACCTAACTGTGCTTTGGTGTGAAGAGCTACACAAAGCTTTGTGGGCATTTTATTTTTCCTGTTTGATGGTGCTGGGGGTTGAATTCAAGTCCTTCACACCAAGCTGCATTTTCTGTGTTTGAAATACCAACGAAGTTTGGTAACTTGGCAAGCTTGGAGGGGGTGGGTCACAGTCTGTTCCGAATAAATCAAGAAGACTAACCTTTTCACCTTTACCTTGCTATAAAGATTCTTTCTGACCCAGTTCCACTTTTACATTCTCTTGAATAGTTTTTAAACAATTTCACTTAAAATTGGAACTTGGTGTCAGAGAAGGGTCAAGAGGTTTAACTCCATTTAATTCTGTATTTTGTGATTGTATCAGGCTGTTTTCTCACAAAATGTTTTGGAGTAAGAAGCCATTATTAGAAGCCACTTGTGCATTTGACTAATACATGAAAGGCTGCACAGGTCAAAGCAGTACCATTCACCTGCTGCTTAGTAACAGTCGGCAATTGCAGTTGGCTGATTAAATTTGTAACCCTTTTTAGGAAAGGGTGGACACAGGTCAGGAAGGCAAGTGCATCCTGCCCGGCAAGGGGGCAGCACTGGGTCACTTAGTCCATATATCCCTGGCATCTGTAGAAACAGGTATGCTCTTGCGGAGTGTTCTCCTTGATCTTCAGCTGTCTCTAAGTTTCTCTCAGCTAGGAAGGCTTGCAGAAAGCATTTTGCAAATAAGGTGGAAATTGAGCAGAGTGTTCAAAAGTAGGGAGCTGTTCAAGAGGCTGGGTGGCACATCCTTTTAGAAACTTAGAAAAGTTGCCTAAATGTTAGGTCCAGCTGCTGGCCTCTTCTGATAGCCTTCCCCTTTGACGCCAGCTCTGTGAAATGACCTGCTTACCTGTGTGACCCTTGGGACTTCACTCTGAGCCAGGAGCACAGCCAGTGGCTGAGCCAGGTGCCTTTTATTCGTTTGAACTACGATAATGTAATCCTCTTGCACAATAGTTCATTCCAAACCTAGAATTAATGATAGCTGCTTTAGGAACCTATACCATCAGAAATTCAGCTTGATGCTAAGAAATTGGTTGGTAGGGCTTACTGGGTGATGAATAGTTCATTCAAACCAAAAACCAAAAACCTGTACTTCAAAATAACCCCCAGTCACTTTGAAGCCTCTTGAATCTGTGTGGTAAGTTCCATCTGAAATGCTATATTTATAAGACTGACTTTCATTTGGTACCACTTTGATTCCATGTTAGCATCGAAAACTCATCCTGTGCATGGTATTGTAGAAGATACAGTCACTGCAAAGGGCAGAGTGATGGGAAGATGGAGGTCTTGTTAAAAATGCATTACTGTCTCCCTTCCCCAAACCTAAGCGTCTGAGATAGAGCCCCATGATCTGGTGTTTTGTTTTGTAAACCCTCCTGAAATTGCTAAGCATGTGAAAGGTTGAGAACCCACTGATTTGTTGGGAGCTGAGGGGATGTCTGAGCAGCTTTCTCATGTAAGATAAGTGGACTTGAAAAATCTTTCCTATGAAAGGAATTGCCCCATGGTAATGGTCAGCAGACCTGGAGAGTGGCCCTCAATTCTTACGCTAAGCAGGTATGTTCTCAAAATGTCAATATGAGAAACTACAGTGGAGCAAAAGAAGAAAATTAACACTGCGTTATCACTTACCAGAGATAATAGCTAAGCATTAAGTCTGCGTTTAACTCTTGTAAAACTTTGTGGCACAAAATAGTGTTTGTTCGCTGGTAAATTATACAGAATAGGGCAGGATTGTTCATCTGCAAGAATTTACAGAGCTCACCAATGCCTAGTGCCAAATGAAAATAATTGTTTTCTGAGAAAAATACATGTGCTTTGCTTCTAGTAAGGAGTGTGTGTACCTGGTACAGATTTGAGAGCTGCCTTCCAGCTCCTTTAAGACATATTGATAATGAATGGCCTGTTCTGAAAAGTTCCATACTTAACTGATGTCTCTGGAGGTGACAGTTGTTCCGAGTAGACAGCACTTCTGGTAGGATGGAGTCAGAGACTGCTGGGAGCAGGCATGCCGTGTGCATTGGAGGGTTGGGGCTCCTTGAGTGGTGTTCTGCGGAGCCTGAAATGCTGCGTCTATATACTCCCTCCTAAGCTGCATTTAGAGATAGAGCATAATAATAAAAACAGGAAAGAGTAGATAGTAGTAAAATGTTTAAAATTTTGGTAATTGGTTGTACTAGACGTAGAACTCCCAATGTTACTGGTTCTCATCTCCTTTCAAATATAGAGACCTGTACTCCTTCATGGCCTAGAAACCTCTAGAGGGCATTGCGAGTGAAATGTGAGCCCTGAAGTGTGCTGTTTCCACTTAGGAACAGTTCACATCCCTCTTTCTTCCCTAGCAGCAATACTGGGAAACTTGTGTTGAGATGAGATGTCGCGGTATGGGGGCCCCTCTGTCATCACGGCACAGACCCGCGTGACTGCAGTGAGCTGACTCACACAGGGCTGGGTGATCTGTTACCACAGCAGAGCCTGGTCAGCCGTGACTAATACAGTGATGAGGCCTCTGTGTCCTCTGTTCTGCCGAGTGTTTGTGAGCATTTGTGCTGTAGACTCCCCAGAAAGTCTCAGCAATGCGAGGCACCGGATAGCGCAGGTGGCAGGCGTGTGGAGCCATAGCTGGAGAAATAAGAGGATCGTTTGCAAGGCAGGCACAGGACACGTCAGAGTCCTGTGTGCTGAGGGGACTCCTTCCTGCAGAAGATGGTATGTCTTCTGTAAAACGGGGAAAGAGGAGAGCATGACACTGAGAATACCAGCACAGCTGAGAGTGGGTACAGAGTACCCTAGAACAGGGTGACTGCTTTGCAGTGATAGGGCCTTAGAATTTTAGTTGTCCAGGTGACAGCCCACCTGCCCAGAGCCTTCGGTTCCCAACAGATTAGAGTATTGTGTTCCTCTCCCAGGAATAAGCAAGGAAGATACTTCTAAATATTGATGCTGATATTGCAACTTTCCTGGCACAGTTGAGTCTATGCCTTGTGACCCCACAGGAAAGATTCCTGCCACTCATGATGCCCCATTAGGCTTTTTGGGACCCTCTCTCAAATATGGACAGCCAAGGCCATCAGACATACGAAGGATCTCTCTAACATGAAAGACAAAACATGAACAAATGGAAAGGGGCACTTGGAGGTACAAAGGCGGGGCTAAAGGCAGAGGAGGATGATACAACATTTATAATCAGTGTGCTCAGAGAGGTGGGAGAAGACAGGGAAGACAGGAAATTAGAGTAGGGTGCCATTTTTTCAAAATTCTTAAAATGACAGCTCTTTTAAAATACAGCAGTGCCAGTTTAAAATTAAAAAGAGAAAAAAAAAATCCTTAGAAAGATAAAGGGTTGAAACATTCCGGACAGGAGAATATGTTTAGACTGACAGGAATTATAGATAGTTTTGGAAGAGTTTGGCAAAAGTAATTGATCAGTACATAAAAACTTAAGCAGAACAAAAACCAATTGCGTTATTTACCCTACTGTAAACAAGTACCAAAGCAAGAAATGCATTAATAGTTTGCCTGTGGTGCAGCAGGAAAATGCAAGTCTTCAGACTGCAAACTGAATATTGATTAACCAAAATTTGTAATATTGAGAGCATGAGGAGACAGGTATAAAAGAAGTAGG